TTTTCGACCTATAGAGTTTTAGCCGGCAACGGTGAATGGCACGGCGGATTGTGTTCACCGACAATGTTTTCTGGAAGTATTCCTGAGCCCATGTTGTGATTTCCATTACAGTAGCATTCCTGTATGTGATGCAGTGCCGTCTAAGGGCCCAAAGATCACGGGCATCCAGTATGGTTTTCCGGCCTTGACCCTTACGCACGGAGATTGTTCCAGATTCTCTGAATCTTTGGATGATATTATGCACTGTAGATAACTTCACACTCTTTGCAATTCTTCTCTGAGAAACTCCTTTCTGATATCGCTCCACTATTTTTCACCGCAGCATTGGTGGAATTGGTGATCCTCTGCCCATCTTGACGTCTGAGAGACACTGCCACTCTGAGAGGCTCTTTTTATACCCAATCATGTTGCCAATTTACCTGATATGTACATTTAACTTTTCCAGCCTCTTATTGCTACCTGTCCCAACATTTTTGGAATGTGTAGCTCCCATGAAATTCAAGATGAGCCAATATTTGGCATGACATTTCAAAATATCTCACTTTCAACATTTGATATGTTATCTATATTCTATTCTGAATAAAATACTGGAATTTCAGCCTTCCACATCATTGCATTCTTTTTTTATTCACATTTTGTACAGTGTCCCAACTTTTTTGGAATCGGGTTTGTAACTTTTCAGTTTCATCTTTGCAGTGATGTATAGAAGCAGTGGTCTACTCACTGTATGCACCCAACTAAAACCTAGCCCAGATCAGTCAGTAAACTCACTGCCATGGACAGATTTGTTTAAGGAATCTGATGTTTGTGACTTGCTTAATGGATTTGCTTCTTTTATTGTTAAAATGACATTTGATGTGTATTTGCATGTGCTTGTTGGGGTCAGTGTAAATATTTCTGTCACTGGATGTGCCTCTGAATGTGTTTGATTTTGTAGTATGGCGTCTGCATTAAAGAAAGTTTTAAAGGACATCTACTTCCAGGATTTGCTGTTTCACTGTTTCGTTAAGCTTTCTCCAACCATGTAAACCACCCTGCCTTTGTCCATCAGAAATCATATCAACCTCCAGCCCTGGATTTTAATTTACAGCTGTCTGAAACATCTTCAGGTCCATCCTCTTCATGTTAATTATCTCAGAGTATAGCATGTCAGACAGTGCCAAACCAACTTTAGCTTTCAGGCTGATGAAACAGCTCTGGGTGTGTGTGTTTGCAACCATGTATGTTTGTGTCTGTTGAACTCATATTCTCTTTGCCTTTTCTGTTTCTCTCCATCTGTCTCTGCTACTTTCTCTCTGTCTG